TCCCAAATATTGTTCTTCTCTTTGCTGCCGAGGACTATCTGATTGGTATTATTTACTGTTATAGTTGGTCTCATTTTTTTATATATGCTGGCAGTCTCCTTCAGTTTTTTGTGCAGGTTAAAGACATCGTGTTGATTTTGCAGCTGCTCTATATCTGAGCATTCACGTTTAAGCCATTTGCTATTCTAATCTTTGATCTTATGAGTCTTCGAATATCCTTATACATGTTGCTGTCTGTTTTGTTCTTATGCTTTCGACGTTCATCCATTAACAACAAAATCTCACCCGTCATCCATTTGTGTTTTTTGTTCTTTGCCTTATATCCTAATCTGTTTTGCATTGAGTTTGTTGCAATGTCCATTATCTTTGTCAAGGCTTGTGTTGGCTCTTCTCCAATATTCGATGTCATTGCTTGTATTTGTGTGATTATCTCGTTACATATCTCAGATTTTATTATTGGGTCCCTCAATTTTTCTAACGCCACCCGTCGCTGTGTGATTGACTTTCTTGGACTTGACTGAGAGATTTTCAAGATGGCCACCAATAGTACATGGTCAAAAGGCACATCTGCCCCACGATATGTGACGGCTCTCTTGATGGTTGAGCTGAATCTTTGGTTGATTAGGATGAAATCTATTTGGTTTCGCACTACATTGTGTGGACGTTCCGCTGGGGACTTCCAGGTATAGAGTCAGTGAGGATGGAGTTATAATACCATGTATTTTTCACTTTCATGCTTTCCTCCTGGCAGGACAGTCGATCACCCGATCGTTTCTTTCTCCAAAACCATACGATCCAACTAACTCCTCAAATTTACCCTTTTCCTATTTTTGAAGTAACCCATAATTATGTTGACGTCATGTTTTTTAGTCAATTTTATCAATTCCTTGACTTCATCATAAAATTTCTCCACATCATGGTCCGACGAGTCCGCAGTTGGTGCGTATACCTGTATTATATTAAGATCACTTGGCTTGGCTCTGAGTTTCAATAAAATAGTGCGGTCCGAGTATGGAACAAAGTGCACGACAGATTTCAGTAGTTCTTTTGTTATAACAACAACCCACACCTTTTCTATGTTTTGGATCGTCATTACCAGAGAAGAAGAATACTCCGTTATCCACATTGCACCTTCCCACACCAGGCCACCAGGTTTCAGCGACACCTAGGATATCCAGTTTGAGTCTGCTCATTTCTCGGGCGAGATTTGCCAGTTTCCTAGCTTGGCTTCTTACATTCCATGTTCCAATCTTCAATGGTTTTCTTAGATTTTTTTTCATATTTGTCACATTTGAAGCCGTCCCCCCCGGAGATCTGATTGGGGGACTATTTATACCTCCGGGAAATTTTAAATTGAATGTACTCATGTTATTGTCTTGGGAAAATAATAAAGGTGGTATCCCGTTGCCTTTCTTTATGCCAAATTTTTGGCTTATGTTTCGGCCGCCCATTCTGGATCAGACGCCGTTTGCAACCGCACAATATGGGTACAGACGTTGCAGTGCAGTGCTAGTTTTTGGTCCGCCCCGAGTATTTGATTTCCCCGGTACCACCCATATCTGGGAAGCATTCTCCTATCCGCCACCTGGGGAGGCGCCCGATGGGGGAACTAGCAAAACCCCTGACGGGAAATATACCTACTTACGTTCAGTGACGCTTTAACCTTTCTCTGGCCCGTAGGTCAATTATTTGGTATGGCCTCTCATGAGTGATTGTTCTTTTTTATGGGGTTAAATAAAATCATTCAGACGATTTCAAACTACTAAAAAAACCACTAAAAAATATTTCATAGCTTTTATTATACATAATAGATACATCAAGTTTCTCCTCCATCAACCTATTTCTAGAGTAGTTCTTAATTCTTTTCGAAACGCTGAAAGTACGCTCTGCGCTGGCATTGGATGCCGGTAGAGTGAGGTAGAGTCTCAGAGCAATTTCAATATTGGGAAATATTGAATCTATTTTTTTATCTCGAATCATTTCTAATAATTTTATGGGGGTTGGTTCTAGATGGCATTGAACTGTTTTAAGGAAATTACAGAAATGTACAGTTTCCTCAGGAAAATCATTATCGGGTTATCAGGATGAAAATTTTGTAAGTAGTCACTGGTAGTCACGTGCCCGTGCTGCGCTAATGACGCGATGACGAGTCAGCGCAGCTCGGTGACTTTAGGGCGTGTTCCGGATTGATGCTCGATGGAGCGAGCGGAGCGATTCCAAAACATCGTGACGTCAAGCAGTGCACTCTGGCCAAACCAAATGTGCTTGTGCAATGTGAATTTGAATTATAAGAATTAAAGAATATTAAAATTGTGCTACTAAACAAGTCGATGTTTTTAATATAGTGGGCTTTTATATTTTATATTATAAATTAAAGGCCAGCAGTTGGCCTTCCATCCTCTAGTGGCCCGTAAGACATGACCTAATTTTCCTAACGGATAAAGTGTCCCTGCTTACGTTACATAAGTTTGCCAGAATATCACATACTTGCTTGAAATAATTCCCCAGTATACGATAACACATATAGAGGTAAATTTACATTTTTGGTTTGCTCAAATCTGGATGTGCATCAATTGGTTCTCCACCATTGCATTGAGAAGCACTCTGCTTGTTCTTGACGACGTTTCACCAAAATCGCATTTTTGAGCCTTCTTTTTCCTCGATTGGTATCTGGAATCCGACTGAGGTCCGTCCGTACTCCGGAGGGGTCGAGTCCGTTTTCATGGAATTGGTGTTGCTGGGTTGTGCTCGATGTCCAGTGTTGCCAACGGGAAGTTAACAAAATACTCCCCATTTGTAGTGAAAACACTCACATAATTCTCACATGTACTATACATAACGTCAATGTCAAAATGTCAATAGTTTTCTAGTTTTCACAGTATTAAGTATGAAATTTGACATTTTACATTTGAGGAGATAATCACCAGATGGCTCTGACAATTGTTTCTGTTTTCAGTATTTTATTATTTGAAGGTTCGTTCTGCCACACATCACAAAAATAAATTAAAACATATTTTTAAAATAAGATTTTTTATTTCTCAATAATTACCTACGTACGAATGGTAAAATTTTTAGGTAGAATTTATGAAAATGTTATGAACATCAAACCAAAGTAACAATCTACCTATAGAAAAATAAAAATACAAACATAAAATGTTTAAAACATAAACGAGTAATTCTAAATGACTAGGACAGGAAAAACGAATGTAAATAATGATTTCCTAAATATCCTTACTACAGCATAGAAAATATTCCAAGATTCCTAAGCCTTCCAAATATTGCAAATTAAAATTTATTTTGTAAAAACAAATTTATACAAGCCACCTTGTTTTTCGATACCCTCCTTGGTAAACAAAAGGACACTTAGAGTTTCAGTTTTCAATTTATTTCTATTATCAGTCTTTATCAGATTTACTTTGCTAAATATGCGTTCTACAGACGCATTAGAAAAAGGAAGAATAAGCAGTAATCCAAGTACAATCTTCAAATTAGGGAAAAGCGCAACGTTAGCATCATTTTTTAATCTAAACACTTTAGGCCAATATTCGTCAGGTGGCAGACCACTTCCTAAACCTAAATCTTCGTGGTTTAGCAGGGCATGTTCTCTGCACTCGTTATCCAAATTTTGTAGTTACAAAATTTTTCAAAAAACTAAACCTTTTCATTATTGGAAGTAAACTCCTAATTTGGAAACTTTGTGCTTCATCTGGATATAGAAATTAAGTCATATATTAAATCTCTAAAATCAAATCGAGACTTTATTTCAGAAATAAGTTCGATATAAAAACTTAAGCAAGTTTTGAAAAATAGTTCTATTTCAGGTTTACTACAACTTGGGTCAGCTAATATATTTTGTATAGACTCTTGACCAGAAATATCAACGTAAATGTTTTGGAGTGAAACAAACTGTCTGGAATTTTTATGGTCAAAACTGAAAACGTCAATATTATTGAAATACTTACTCTTTGTTCATGTAGTTACTATATAGAATCTTTAACATTCTTGTCGCTTCTGGCTTTAATCTGTGAAGCAATGGTACATCACTTTGGAACAAAACATTTAAATCGTTTAAAATAAATAAAACATAGGACATAAATTCTAGATACATTTTGGTGAAAACATTATCTAAGCACTTAATTATTTCAAGATTTGTCTTAGAAGGATCTTCAAAACGGGTTTCTCTAAAATATGCCTTTAGTACTTTATACTGTTCAAGAACTCTGTTGGTACATTGTTCTATTGATAACCATCTAGTTACACTTCGATTTTATATATGTTAACTTTGAAAAATTCTTGAATTTCTTTCAATTTTTTTTGTCTACTAAAGCTACGACTAAAACGAGACCCAATATTGCGTAACATGTCCTCTACTGATCGAGGTAGTTGAAGACAAGATGTTAAAGCTGCTAAGTGTATCATATGGCATGAGCATACGACAAAAACAATTTCAGGTAAATCTGCCTTCAGGTGGCTAAAGACTGAACAGTGTTCTCCAACCATTAGATTAGTGGTATCACTTGAAAACCCAACTAGATTTGTAAGGAGAATTTTCTTATCAATTTTTTTTTTTTTTAAAGATTCAGACAGATTAACTGCATTACCCTTGGCTACTTCAACCATGTCAAAGAAGGATGTGGTTAGTTTACTTTCTACATCACAAAAATAAATAATAGTAAATGCACATTGTTCCGTACCAGCTACATCCGTAGTTTCATCCATAATCAAGGAAAACCAAATTCCATTTTCTCGGAACTGACTATACAAATTTTCCTTAAAATTTTTGCCTAAAGATTCTCGAACTATAGCTGTTGCTTAAGTTTTTCGGACACTTAAATTTTTAGCAATATTAGAATATGGGAAAATATCTCCATACAACCTGGTTAAAGTGTCCATTAATGAAAATAGAAAATTATTGGTTGCTATTGGGCACATAAGAGGGGTCAACATTTTTTCAAGATTATGAGGGGTCTTGAGTTGCCTGAAAGTAGTTAAATGTTTTTAGATTTACTGTGACGCAATAAATCAGTCTTGTGTGAAAATATATTAGTGTCACATATTTTACAGCGAGCCATTTCTCATCTGTCAGCACCCTGTTTACCCTTTGTTAGCCAATCCCGAAACTCTGGAAGGTACAGCCATTCATTTTTAAACTTATATTCCCTCTTTTTCAATGTAAGTTTTGTGATTTTTGCAACCTCTGGATTTGGTGGTGACGGTTCAATGTTGACCTCTTGAGCTGATATTGCTATCTTGATATAAAGATATAAAATAGTGTAATTAAATAGATTTATATCTTTACACTCCACATTTCTTACTTGATTCTCAACCTCAAGTCTCGCTCAAAGGCAACTGTGGTGTGAGTCAAATCTGCATGGTCTGGTGAAGTCAAGATATTGTTACGAATTTTCTCAGTTCCAGTTTCTTGACTAGGTTTCAGGTTCAGCTGCTCTCTGCTTGTTCCTGTTTCCCCATCCCCAGTTGGATTCTAAGGAAATAATATCATGTAAAATCAGAAATAAAATAATTGGTGCTATTTTTCACATAATATTCTAGATGCTTATTGAAATCTTGATTTACCTTAACGTTTTTTCTGATCACCCACTTGTCCATTTTACCTACTCTAAATTGGATCCAGGCACTCCTTTTTCATTGTATAACATGGTTTTATGACATCAAATTCCAAATCAAAAATAAACCATGAACCAGAAAACCAATCAGCAACATCAAACAAGCAAGAAAAATTTGTCTGAGAAAAACTCTACGGGATCACCAGCTGATTTATTTTATCTTTTCTTAATCGTGTTTATTAAAAAAAGATAAAAAACAAACAGCTGGTGATCGGGCTAATGGCCTCTTGACAATCTTGACGTGACGTGACATACATACATCTTCTTTTCAATAAAAATGTTAAGCGCTTGCTATGTAACGAGTTATGACATGGCTCTCGCGCCGGGACGAATTCAATTTAATTTTTTTGGTTAATAAATACCAAAAATGCCCACGAAATGCTCACATCTTGCCAATACTCCCATTTTTACCCCCAGATCTATTGGTAACACTGTCGATGTCTCTGTTTGCCGAGCCCGCTGATTGTACCGCGATGTTGTCGGATTGTGTTATTTGTTGCGACGTTGCCGGCTTGCATCACTTGCCTTGGATTACGGATGTGAGGTTTATTTATTAAGAGTGTCTGTTCAAGAAAAACCCTCTTACACTATGAACCTTTGAAGGTCACTAATTGACCGCGTTTCAACAGGTATGTGATGATACATCTTGACTCCATTATAAATGAACGAATTTTTGAGTGAAGTGCGGTATTGGCAATCTAAGATCACTTATCTGTCGAGTCAGGTAAGAGCCACCAGTTAAAAAGTGCGAAAGATGTTCATGGATAAGACACACTGATTCCAGGATAAAGAGGCAGGAAAGGATGAACGAAGGCCCGCAGTGGGCTCTATAGGGTGGACGTCACACAGAAACCGAATAACTCTTTTCTGCATTACGAACCCTGACTGGAACAAACACTGGATGCAGCTTCCCCAGAAAGGCAAACAGTAGCGCAAGTGAGCTTGTACTAGTGTGAAGTAAGTTGCTCTTGCTACTGCCCTGCCCAGTTCAGAAGCAATAACCCTCAGCGTGTAACATCCAGATGCTATTTTTTTATGTAAAAATCGTATATGATTTTTTGACGATTACTTTAAAGATTAAGAAAATTTTAATCAATATGAGATGTAAAAAAGTTTAGTTTATTCAATTATCAAGTAATTATGTATTTTTAGTCAACAACAATAACAAACAATTGAAAAAACAACGTAAAAATTCCACTTGTAAATCGGTATCTAAACATCTGGCAACATAGCACAATAAAGAATAAATGAATGAAAATGATTCTTGATTTGTCTTGTCTAGTTGGGAAATGCACGTAATTCAAATTCATTCTTTTTTGAAAATAAAATGTTTACAAACGTCGAATATGCAGATACTTGTTTAGGCAGAATCGTTGAAAAATGCTCATTTAGCCGCCAGAATTTACAGGGAAAGATTTTCCAAAAGAAAAACCCCCACCTGATGAAAGAACTGTGCCCGTTCTATAAAGATTGCGTGATACTTGAAGTTTTAGTGTGCAAAATCTGCGTGTTGATTTTAGTGTTTTGAGAACCTCTTAACAAAAATTAATATTTTCTTAATAAGGATTTGGCAAGTAACTGAGTAAGTATTACTTGATTTTTCTCTTGAATGTCTAGTGCAAAAATGTCCGTGAGTGCAATTCACAACTTAATAAAACGGCACATTTCTTATTGTTACTAGAAAAGTGATAAAAATGCAAGTTTTTATTTACATTATTCGAAAGCCAATAAAAAACCAAAACGTAAACAGATGGAAATTAATAAACTCCGTGCAAAAAAAAAAACTTTTCAAATTTACCAGTTTTATGTACATTTATATCCTGGTAGAGATAATACCTGTACAATGTTGTCACGTTGTTAACATTTTTCTAAATTTCAATTCTGCGATAGCTCCGAAAATACTAACAATTAGTTGACCCATGGTTAATAGGACACTTTTAGCTTGAAATGGGCCATATTATCTCATGGTAAAATATTTGTACTCATACCTGATACACCCTGTATAGAAAAGCAAACGATAAATGTTGCAACCATGTTTAGGCTGTGAAATTTATGGGAACGGGGGCGCGCCACGGAAAGGTACCGAAAGGTAGATAGAAGAAATTGAGAGACTAGAGAACAAGCTAGAGTCAATTTTCATTTTGTATTAAACTGATTGTTCAATCCAATTTGTGATTAGTTTGTCTGTCATAAGGAGCATTCACAGGTCAGTTGAATAAATGTTATTTGTTTTGAGAGTTCCATTTATACAAGTATTTTTATTTTTTTTTCATTTTATGTTTTTTTTTGTTTGTTTATAACATTTTTTACAACATGTGCATTGTTCATATATCTAACAAAAATCGTTTCATGCTGTGAACAACGCAGATAAAAAGTAAATTTAAAACCTTAGAAATTGTGTGCTGTCTTTTGTGCTGGGATTTAATTTTGGGTATTCAGAGCGTGCATTAGGGCCTTGTTGAATCTACTAAAACTTTTTTACCCTGACGAGCGAATATCCTAGCAAACAAATAGAAATAATCAATCCAGAGAAATTGACTCAAAATAACACCTATAGCTGAGTAGCCTCCCGTAAGGGAACTCAGTACCTGCTGGCAGACTGGCTAACTAACCAAAAACTCTTCAGTATTGAATAAAGGTGGTGTTGATTGAATGTAGTATGTTGAATTAAAATTGTAGCACAAGAACAGGGGCTGTAGCTTATTTAAACTATTATTGATTATTGACTCACAATTACATATTATTATTAAAATGTCACAGTATGTTTTGATTTTTGAGGAATGTAGACCGAGGATTTCTCTAGTCTAGTCCATGCGGTCAAATGATAAATATGTCTTCCACGTGTCTGAGCCAGATTTAATGCCTTAAGTTGGCGTATTCTAAGGCTTTTCTCTCAAAGTTCATAAAGATGTTGGCGATTACCTGGGACAGGCAGTGATCGGCAGGTTCAATTATCTGAGCGGGTATGTGCTTATTCATAGCTATTTAGTACAGAGCTTTGTGTATGGAAATGGTCAGATATAGTGAGACTACGTCCAGACTGGCGGTAATGTCGTTGGTATTAAATTTGATATCTTGATGTGATTGACGAAATGCTCCAAGCTCTTAACGTAGGCTGGCGCATCCTCCGCTTAGAGTTGTATTAGCTTTGCTAAGTACTTTTCCAGGTTCTGCAAAGGATATCATAAAGCGTTTACAATTGGTCGCAAAGGTATATTTGGTTTATATACCTATTTTGGGTAGTACATATTATAGTTTAGGGCACTTACTGGACTTTTGACACGGCATGATGGTCTTCTAGGTTTCTTGGTCTAGAAAACTGCTTTAAATTTACCTTGGCGGTCTACTTTGAGTATGTTGTCGGGTCTCGGTTGGTCGATTTATAGGCATTGTTCTCGAGGATCTGTTTAATTTTCGCTGTGTAGTCGGTCGGGTTGATAACGTCTTTTGTCCGCTGGGAGAATGGCGATCAATGGGTCAAGTCTGACTTCTCATAATACCTAGGTTTATCGAATAAAAATTTATGTAGGTACACTGCACAACATTTGAATGACAGATTTCAAACAGCAAAAACCTTGAATGTTCTCCTGAGAAAAAGTTAAATTGGAGTTTCTCAAGTAAGGAAGTTGGGACCTCTGTTAGTTATTATTTTGTATATTAATGAACCTTTATTAAACCTAGGCAAAAGCAATATTTAGCTTTTCTGAGAAAACCCATCGATTTGTTCAAAAGAAGAATATTCCAGGTGCAATAAAAATAGTAAGTTCAGAATGAAAAATTGTTTGTATTTATTAACTGGCTAAAAGTAAATATTAAAATAAAATTATACACTAAAAATCGGTACAAATAAGATAAATATCCGCAACTGATTATTATTATAATTCACGCTCTTCTGGAACTCATAAATTCCCTTCACTATAATATTAAACATAATTTCAAATTTACTACCTCTCATACAGCATAAATCTAATACAGCCACGTCTGTACGTAACAAATTTATAGGTTCTACTACCGGGTGTTATTAAGCTTCTTATTATTCATCGCTGTCTCGTATATTGCTTAGCCCTCCATCCATTTATTCATGTGTTTTTTAGGGAAAAACTAATTTTTTTTACACAAAAAGACCTACTTGACGATGATCAGTTTCCGAAGTAATTACGTACAGCAATCACGTTTCAGGGATAATAATTTCCAGCACGTAAGCGTCGCCAAATGTTCCCCTATAATATTTTTAAGTCCCCCATTATTAACGCCTTCTCGTGTCGAGTTTTAAAACGCAATTACTATCAATCTTGGGCACGATGTGGAGCTGTTGAACCTAATTTTAGTATTTTTTCCAAAATAAGTTCTGATAAAGCTTTTTTCATAATAGAAGTTCTTCCTCTCAAAATAAAGATAATTAACGCCTTTTAATATTATTATGGTGTTTATTTTCATCCCCCATTTACTCGCCTCGAAGCAGCTGAAACAATTATGTTGGGAAGTTGTAAACTAGGGGAGAACAATAGGGTAAGACGATAAAATACATAATTATATTAACTCTCAAATATATACATAAGGTTATTATATTTTCGAATAATATTACATTGTCATAATTCAGTTAATAATATAAGTAAAAGAGACTCCATATCGATACGTATATTGCGAATAGTTAGGGTCCTATTTAGGAAGACAGAAGACAGAAATCAATACTTAGTGGAATTTCGTTTGTTTCTTTTATACATCTAAGGATATTCTCCAGTAATGACGGTTGCATTCCTTTTTCAGATCTCATTCACTTTTATGGCGATCGTTGTCAGGAAAACTACTTAAACGTCCGTATATTTTTCCACAGCGAAAAACTGGTTTCAAATTAATGAAACTGAATAAAAGTCAGACCATTTTATGAGTAGGTACCTAATCTTCTTTTACGTCGCATTGAAATATGAAACTGAGAGCAGCATTAAGTACAATGAACTATAATAAACAAAAAATGTTTAATGGAAGGAAGGATTAGAAACAAGTAGTGGAATGCAGAAATCATCCGGAGGAAGGAGACAAG